CAAACACATTTGCACATTTTTTTAATACTCGATCCTTAAATAAACAAGATTGAACACATTCAACACATTTATGTTCATGAACAACGTCATTTAAATCTCGTGAACAAGCTCGACATTAAGCTCAATACGAAGCTCATAAGAGAAACTTGATAAGAAGCTTTTCTTTTATTTTTATACCTTCCATAGAATGAATTTGTTCATGTTTGCTAGATTATTTTTTAAAATGTTCATGAGCAAATATAAGATGAATTATAGATCATTTGTTCGTGAACGAGCTCATTTGGTAGCTTAAAAAATGCTAATTAGTTTATGTTCATAAATGCGATCAATTGATAGCTCAAGAATACTCATTAGAGTATATTCGTGAACGAGCTTGTTTGATAGTTTAAAAACTTTGCCTAAATATGTTCTAATGAACATGCTCGTAATAATTGTTTGTTAGAAGGCTCGATAAGGCTCGTTTCTTTATGTTAATGAAAATCTAGAACTAAAGCTCATTTATAGCTCGATAAGCTCGTTTGTTTTAAGCTCGATAAGCATAAAATGAACCGAACATGAACCAAATATGAACATCCATTAATTTAAACGAACCAAGCTTGAACAAAAACAAAAAGCTCAAGTTGAGCTCGAACCAAATCTGAACAAGGTGATAATAAACGAACTCAAACATGAACACGCATATACTCTGCTCGGCTCGGCTGGATCATTTTTAGCCCTATTCACCATGGCCTTCAAGTTAGCACAAGTATGAATGAGTGAGGTCTCCCTTTAATGTGATCTTTCGACAGCCTACGGAGAGCTTATTGCTACATGATAGGTTGAGATGATCGCATTGAATGTGTTCAACAAAAGGTTGCTTGGAATATGCATTGTAAGTGGTTGGCATCTCCATGATATATAAGTCTATCATGGCGGTGTATTAATGGTTTGCCCTTCGCCCCATGTGCCAGGTAGGGAAATCATGGCTTCATTGTCCCTACACTCACAGAAAGCCAAAGAGAGGACCTAAAAATGGAGGGTGAGTTAAGAGGCAAGAAGATTAATTTTTCAAAAAATAGATTTAAAGATAAATTAACAAATGCTCTATGTCAAATTTAGACACTCCTGGTCTAATAGTTAACGATCAAAACGGGCGGCGACCACAGCATCGTTGAAGGGATTCCTTCTTTTTTTTCTTTCGTTTCTATGCAGAAGTTGATCAGGGCAATCTCAACTACTAGTGTCCATAAGATGTTGGAACAATTTAACTTCACTTGTCCTCAACCTTTTTGGAGATGGCTACTATAGATGACATAATTCGTTCTCACCTAGATGGCAAGTGCAACTTCTACAGTATGAAGTGACAAACAGGAATAGGATTATTCCCATTGCTCACCATGGAAGCCTTCCTTGAGCGCCAACCAAAGTCGGCAAATACGAACTCTTTTCAAATTTCCAACCTTGATGAGGTCCTCGACATGTTTGCGATGTCTCGGCAATCCTCAATGTCATGTTCATAATCTCTATGGAAGGCAAAGCATCATGAGGCATCCCTCATATGCGCATTTGTCTTCATAGGTGGAGAGCGCATAAAGAATTCTTTGTTCCGGATTGCCTCTATGAGCTCAACTGTTAATACCCACAAGGGAGTGGCTGTGAGATAGATAGGGTCATGGTGTGTACCTTTTATATGAAGAGGGCAAGTGGCGCATGGCACTTCTTCCATTCTAGTGTGAGTGGGCCAACTATCCTAAGCAATATTGCTTGTAGGGATGCCTTAGGTAATTTAGACAACGTGAAGCACGCATCATGGTAACCTTGGGAAACTTCTTTCACACATCCCAACCATGGGGATGATCATTCCTTGTACTAAGCCTCTAGGGCAAGTGGATGAGAAGGATTCAATTACTCAATTGTACTTGGCATTGGCCTAGGTGTTGGCGAGTTCAAGCAACCCAACAACATCTTGGCTATTATAGCCCAGTACAAAGCAGAACATGACCTTCTCGCAATCCTTAAGCTAGAACATTATGGGCGACGACTGGCTATATGTCCCTTTATTCCAGCAACTCTCTTTGAAATCTCACAATGAAGCTACAAAGCAACTTGCCCAACTACTCGCGTGTCTTAGGAGAGCTTCCAAATTCTTTTGAGGCTTTTCGGCACTTACAAATTGTGTGTTTAACATTTTTTTTAAACTCGACAAATAAGTGATCATTCCTACAAGCAGACAAGTGAATCACTAAAGTGTTGTCTCTATAAAGATAGTAAAAGAAACTCAACAATAAAAAGCATCATTTACGTCAAGCAACAGCGTCATGAATTCAAAGTTAGCGCCATGATCAGCAGGTAGTTCTTCCCCAGTAAGATTCTAGGTTCGACATCTTATATTTTAGAGACAACCTTTTCACTGCTATCTCTCTGAGAAGTGTTAGTCAATTCAAGTGCTTCTCTCCTTAGTAGCCGTGGACGATTGTACTCTTCATAGCTAATGGAGGTCTGAGTGGGATCAAACGTTGGGCTTTAAGGAGAGCAGTCGGGTCCCTAATCTCCTATAGCAAATAGTTGAGTCATAAGATCCTTCTAGTGCACTTTCTCGTAATGAAAGCCTCAATAATCCTCCCAAGGTATCCAAGATCATCTCTGTGAGTTTTTTTTTTCTATTTCCATGATATTGCGAGAATTGTGTAGTTGGAGCACCCATGTTCATGGATTGTTTTGGTTCTACTACTCTACTAAATATGTTTATCTTCTAATCACTAGCATCAATCTACACTCACCATAACTTTCAAGGTGTTGGATCAAAATATATCCATAGATTACACTCGATCTTACTAGTAAACAACACCAAAGAATAAGACCTCATAACTTAGAGTAAGCATGAAAAAGAGAGGATAGAATTTTAGACAATCTAGGAAGAGAAAAGCATATAAGAAACTCCTAGAATGCTCCAATAGATCAATGATGTTACAAAAGATCCAAAATGTGCATTTTAATTTATTTATAGGATTCTGAGAGCTACAGAGAAAGCTACATCCAAAAAGGAAAAAAAAAAAGTACATTATTAATTATGGCCCACTGTAAACCATACATGATATATACCATGGCCTGATTAGCCCCCATATAGCTCTTCATCCTCAGCCTACCAGGACAATTATGAATATACATATAAACCAATTTTCCTTTTTTATTGTGAAATATCTCAGAAGGTAAAACATAGCAATGATAACAAAATAAGGCTTCCTCTATACTGATCCTGAGATCAGTGACATTTTAGAATGTTATTGCATCATGAAGAAAGTCTTGTTAGAAGCATCTCCAACCAAATCGAACGTCATTTGGCTATTGTTCTGTTTGTTGTTTTCGCGAGTTTCCCACCTTAACACAAACATAAAAGCATTTTACGTTTTCTCTCTGTTGTGCGCAGTGGGGAAAAACACAAAAATGGCGTTTGATTTGTCGTTCAGTTGGACACTCACAGGTACTGTGACCGGAGAATACCATTCGTTGGAGATGGCCTATAAGAATGAAGAATCGGAAATGGATCTCACATCAACAAGCTTTAACCAAGTGTTACATGTACCAAAAAATTATGGATTATAGGTGCTTCACCCATTTTCTGAAACAAATGAAAGTACAAACCCATTAGATCAAAAGAGCATTTCAAGAGACTTTTTATAAATCTATAATCTAGTGGCACTGTAACAAAACACCAACAGGCACTCGTATATATAAAAATAATAATAATAAATTTAAAAGAGAGCTCATCCCACTGCACACTTCCATCTTTGGTAAGCAACCTATTTCATCAATTCCAAAGACAATAAATTTGTTGACTTGAAAAAGAAATTTTCTCTACAAAATGGAACGTAAATAAGATAATTTGTCATGTAAATCCAGCTTCCACTAGAATTTTAATGAATATACCGAACCTTCAGACATCAATTCAATCTAATGGCAAATAAGAATCTCATGCGTAAATATAAACAAATGAACAAAATTGTAATAGTGCACCAACTATTACCATATCAACTAAAGGAAATGACATGTAAGATGCAAAATCAGTTGGAACCTGAAAGCCGGCAAAATCCGCCTAGACCTCCTTAAAGAGAGCATTTCAAGAGACTTTTATTAAACCTATAATCTAGTGGCACTGTAACAAAACGCCAACAGGCACTCCTATATATAAAAATAATAATAATAAATTTAAAAGAGAGCCAATCCCCACTGGCACACTTCCATCTTTGGTAAGCAACCTATTTCATCAATTCCAACAACAACAACAACAACAACATCAAGCCTTTATCCCACTACGTGGGGTCGGCTACATGAATCCTTTTTCTCCATTGTGTCCTATTAAAAGTCAAATTCTCGTTTAAATCTAATAAAGAAAGGTCATTCTTAATATTTCTAACCAGTCTTTTTAGGTCTACCCCTACCTTTCTTAACATAAGTCAAATCTAATACCTCTACTCTCCTAACCGGGTCATCGCAAGGCCGCCCTTTATGTGACCAAACCATCTAAGGCGACTTTCTCTAATTTATCTTCTACTGGAGCTACTCAACCTTTTCACGTATATGCTCATTTCGTATCCTATCTCTAAGGGTCAAGCCACTCATCCACCTGAGCATCCTCATCTCTCCACACTTAACTTAGTATTATGCTTCTCTTTTAAAGGCCAACATTCGGCACCAATAAAGCATTGCAGGCCTCACTACCATCTTATAGAATTTTCCTTAAGTTTGAGGGGTACATTTCTATCACATAACAAGCCCGATGCATTCCTCCACTTCAACCATCCAACTTGAATTCTGCTGATAATATCCCCTCTATTTTCACCATCACTCTGAACAATGATCCAAGATATCTAAAACGTGTACTCTTATTAATGACTTGATCGCCCAAAGTCACAATCCCCTCACTAGGTCTATTACTACTAAAATTACACTCCATATATTCTGTTTAGATCTACTCAAGCGAAAACCTTTAGACTCTAAGGTTGACCTCCATAATTCAGTTTACCTTCAACTCCCTCTCTAGTCTTGTCAACAAGAAGAATATCATCAGCAAAAAGCATACACCAAGGTACATCCTCTTGCAAATGTCTAGTGAGAACATCCATACTAAAGCAAAAAGATATGGGCTTAAAGCTGATCCTTGATGTAACCCAATCGAAAAGAGAAATACTTGGTCAATCCACCTTGTGTTTGAACACAAGTAATAGCTCCTGCATACATATCTTTAATGATTTGAATATAAGCATTATTGACTCCTTTCTTTTCAAGAACTCTCCATAGCACTTCTCTTGGAACTTTATCATATGCTTTTTCTAAATCAATAAATATCATATGTAGATCCTCCTTATTTTCTCTATATTTCTCCATCAAACCTCTTAATAATATATGGCTTCCATAGTCGACCTACCCGGCATGAATCCAAATTGATTTTGAGAAACATTAGTATCACGCCGCAACCTATGCTCCAAAACTCGCTCCCATAGTTTTAAAGTATGACACATTAACTTAATACCTCTATAATTCGCACAATCTTGTACATCACCTTTTTCTTAAAAATAGGAATTAACACACTCATTCTCCACTCATCTGGCATCTTCTTAGTCTTCAAAATAGTATTAAAAAGTTTAGTAAGCCATGAAATTCCTTCATCTCCTAAGCATTTCCACACCTCTATTGGAATATCATCAGGTTCAACAGCTTTTCCACCCTTCATTTTTTTTAAAGCCTCTCTAACTTCAGTTTTACTAATACGCCGATAAAAACATAAATCTTTATTTTCATCTAGGGTGCTAAGGTCACTATAGTCAATCTTATTATCAGAATCTTCATTAAAAAGTTTAGCAAAATATCTCATCCATCTTTGTTGAATATCATCTTCTAAGAAAAGTATTTTTTGATCTTCATCTTTAATACACTTCACTAGAACTAAATCCTTACTACTCCTATCTCTTTGGGAAATATATAAAGTGGCTCGTAAGGATGCTAAGAAAGCAATATGCGAATAAATTTGTTGACTTGAAAAAGAAATTTTCTTCTACAAAATGGAACGTAAATAAGATAATTTGTGGTGTTAATCCAGCTTCCACTAGAATTTTAATGAATATACCGAACCTTTAGCCGTCAATTCAATCTAACGGCAAATAAGAATCTCATGCGTAAATATTAAACAAATGAACAAAATTGTAATAGTGCACCAACTATTACTATAATCAACTAAAGGAAATGACATGTAAGATGCAAAATCAGTTGGAACCTGGAAGCCGGCAAAATCCGCCTTGACCTCCTTCTTACTAGCCAGTTGGGCCAAAGACCTTGCAAACACCTCAGTCTCCACAGGATCTATATCTATACAAATCATCCTATCCCCACACCGCCTGCACACACCTTCCTTGTCCATCTCACTCCTGCCAACACTCCACGGGCCCTTACCCAACCACCCCTGTCCATGCCACCCTCCCCCTCCTTTGGAAACCCCTTCATTGACCTTATCCACATCCCACTCCTGAAACCCAAATCTTGCTGCCGGTTCTGTTTGAAACCAAGCTTCAATCAACTCGGCCGTCGTCTCCGAGACGTTCCTCAATTCGGTCCTCATCCTGTGCAGCAGCCGATATACATCTTCTCCCCTCCCAAGCTGCGAATTGAGACGGAAGAGAGCAGCGAGCTCCAGCTCCTCGGCAGCAACCTCTGCCTCGACCATGTGAAACTCGAGCTGGTGTGCCTTCTTGACGTCACCCTTGTTGCAGAAGCCAAAGAGGGCAGGGCCGTAGCTGCGGAGGCGTGGGGTGATGCCGGCGGAGGACATGGTTTTGATGAACTGGAAGGCAAGGTCGGGGTCGCCGCGGGCCGCGGCAAGACGGATGAGGGTTGTGAAGGTTGCCTCATTAGGGGTGATGCCATCGATTGACATCTGGCGGAAGATGTCAAGGGCGCGTTCAGCGTCAGAAGAGGTGGCGGAGGGATGGGAGCAGAGATAGAGCAAGACATTATACTGGTGGAGGGAAAGCGGGATGGAACCGGCGCGGGCGGAGTCGTAAAGACGGAGGGCTTCAGAGACGTCACCGTGCTTTGAGCATAAATCCAGTTGGTGGCGGAGGAGGTTCTCCGGCGTCTCACGGCGGGCCTTTTTAGATCGTTTATCAGCGGAAGTGGTGCAGAGCGGGAAGGAGTTGGTTGAAGGGTTGAGATGTTTGAAATTATGCCGAAGAGAAGGGCAGTAGATGTGTTGGTTAGCGCGACGGGCACCGTGAGTTACGGAAAACAAGAGGGAAGGGGGCCAGCGGATGAGAGAGGAGCGGAGGGAAATTGCTAGAGGCATCCGTGCCGTCGCTGATGCTAGGCAAACATTCGAGCGGAGAAATTATTTTGTGGAGTCCGGATGATCTACTTCCAGCTCATATAAAATTATAAATTTTATATTTTATTTCTGTTTTGTTTGTCCGCTGGATTCGGTCGAATATGAATTTGGTATTAAAAAAAAATCATCATCCCATTTAAATTTAGTGTTTAATATTGGTGTTTCTTTTTAACCTGAAAAAAAATCGTAAAAGCTATCAAATATTTAAGATTTTAGCTCAATAAATTTTTGATGTATGCTGAGAAATAAAATAGAGGAAGCCGATGAAGATGAAGACTAATTTGGAAGATAACATTACATTCTTTGAGTAGATGATATGTCCACAGAATGCAAAGGCCAGAAGGTAGTATGCAACATCTAGAAAGATGAAGACTTGAAGTTGAAAAAACTACAGTTTGAAGGAATAATAGGTTTAGAGTATGAAATGGAAGTTATTTTGATGGAAGTGCTGCAGATTTGAACTTATCAGAACAACACACTGTGAGCAAGCATGTAGACAGTCAACACATAATCAATACTGACTATATAAAAGCTTGTAGCCGCTATGTACAAACTGTGTATTTAAAACTTCTATGTAATTATTGAGTATCAATTATGTATTTATTATATATTTATAAGCTTTGTATTCACTTTGTACCAGTGTGTGTATAAGGATGAGAAGAGGCATACAAATGTATATTTAATGTGTATTTATTATATATTATTACAAACATACGTAGTGATTTAATAGATCAGGTTATTGAACATATGTATTCACTTTATCGAATGTGCATTAAGAATATGAATTATAAGTAACAATTGTTTTGATCCTATCAATATAACTTTATTGTGTATCCATTGCATATTGACTATGTATTTGCTACATATTTGATGATTATTGATTGTGAATTTACTTCCTACTAGTAGCATATCTACTGTATATTTAATGTGTATTTATTGTATATTGATTACATATTGACTGTGTATTTTATGCATATTCACTGTATATTTGTTGTGTATTAATTGTATATTTATTGTATATTTTTTGCAAGTTTGTTGTGTATTTGTTACATATTTGTTGCGCATTTATTACGTATTTACAATGTATTTGTTGTATATTAATTGAAAATTATTCATGGTGTGTATAAAAATGGGCAACAGACATGCGAGGTTTACTACAGTTATGCCCATAATGTTAATTTTAATATTTGCAATAATTATCATGGTTGCTGACCAAATTCTAGAAAGAAAATATGAGGACTTTATTTGTTCAAAATCTAGTTTCAAGAAGGGACTTGATCTGAATTCTCAAATAAAATATAAAAAATCATAGACCCGAACGAGTTGTCCAGCTATGATTAAGTTTATAGTGGATGAAGCTAGAAATTTGAATGTTAAAAAATTTATTAAAAGTCACAATCATGAATAGTCTAAGCCTACAGTCTGACATCTACTGAGATCATGTAGATATATTTGTGATGATAAAGCTTCAGTTCTTAAATTATGCATTTTTCTACCTTGTAAATGAAGTTAGAGGTATCAAAAATACTGGATTCTCTAAGAGAAATTCATAGAACTTTATTCAAAAAGGGAAAAGAGCAAATATTGAATTTGGGAATATTAATTCTTTGATTCAATTATTTAAAAATTGTCAAGTTGATGACAACATATTTATATTGGACGTCCAAATTGATGAATTTGTTATATTATTAAATTTTTTGGATTGATGGGTTATGTATGATCGGTTATGATTGCTTTGGAAATTTGGAAATTTTTAATACTAGTTAAAACCTTAATAAATATAATTTAGTATATGCACTATTTATCGGGGTTAATAATTATTGACAAAATATTTTATTTCAGGTGACCTTTTTGTTAAAGGAAATAATTGAATCATTTAAATCGATTTTTAGAATATTTGTATGAATAATGGGTGATAATTATCTACTCACAATATTTATTAATCAGGACCAAATAATGATTAGGGCCATAGAAGTTACATTACCTCACACTCATCATAGAAGTTGCATTACCTCACGCTCAACAATGTTAGAGGAATTTTTTTATAAGTGTATCAGTAAGTGTAACTCTGACGAGTTCGAAAGAAATGAGCTAAAATGATCACAGAAGGAAACCTCCTTAATCATGGTTGGTTAGGAGATCTTTATAGGATAAAAAATAAATGTTCAACAACATTCAATAAGGATTATTTTAGCATGGGCATTCTATCCATACAACATAGTGAGTCTACTAATAATGTGTGTCATGATATTTCAAGGCCCATAAGTTTTATAACTAATTATTTTCTAGGCTTAAAGAGGGTGATGATAACTTGTCACTAGAAAAAAAAGGATGAGGATTATAAATGTTGCTGGTCTGAAACAATTCCTGTAACAAAAAACAATCCACTATTTAACCAAGCTGTTCAATTTTACTCAAGAAAACTATATTTATTTTTGAAGAAAAATTTTTATATGATGTGGGTGGAATGAGTATAGACTTTGTTTCAAGTGATTCTTCAAAATTTTTTATCAAGTACACAAGAATAAGGACCTTTCTAAACATGGAATTTTCATTTTGATATAAAAGAGGGCATAATCCAATGCACCTATATAGAGTTTGAGATAATGGGTTTGCTGTTTTCTCACTACTTGAAAGTTTTGAGGCAGCTGTATATTATAAAATTCCCTAAAAATTACATACTATTGTGATGGTGAGTAAGAGCTTAAAAACATATTTGTTCATAGATACAAGAAAGAATAATTTTGAAGCTAGTTGTGAATTCATATTCAAAAATTATCTTAGCATATTTACATACCAAATTAGCACATGAGCGAAGGGAAATGAGGAGGCTGAGCAATACATTTTTGTTGCAATAAAGGATATGACTCAAAATATCAACTTGATTCTAAATGGCAAGAGAAAAAACCATAAGTTTGTAGGAAATACACATAATGGCATTGCAAAATTGAAAGATCTATTAAAGTGTATGCTAAAAGGCATCTCTAATGCACGGTTGAATGGCCACTAGAAAAGTGGAAGAAGCCTTTCAGCATAATTTAAATTACCTACTAATTACTTATCATTATATATTATGAGACAATGTATATTTTATTGAGAATTAGTTTTTCAACAGAAAAAACTAACATGAAGGCAAATAAAATATAAATCTATTAACTTTTATGCCAAATCAAGTTCTTAAACATGTTCGAATGCTTCAATGAATAATTCATATATGGAGCAGCAACCAAATAACTAGGGTTGAAATACACTAGAATGTTGATAGATTTCATACTTTAGAGCAACAATTTTGTTAAGTTTAATTATAATAATTATTTTTAAATTAAAAAAATATATATATATATGTTAATAATTGATGGGTTCAAACATTCTTCATTCATTATAATAGAATAAGTTGGTTTTATTCATTGTCGTAATATTGAACATGTATTTTCACTATGTACTAATTGTGTAAGAAATATATTTTTTGATAATTTAAAAATAACTTAACTATTTATTAACATCGCATTTGCTACATATTAACTGTGTATTCACTGAATATTTATTATTTATTTATAACATATTTACTGTATATTAACTATGTATTTACTATATATTTAGTGTGTATTTACTGTGTATTAATTATGTATTTATCATGTATTTCCTTAGTACTTATTGTACATTTATTACATATTTACTGAGTGTTTGTTGCATACTAACTGAATATTAAATATTTACTGACTACGTATTTACTGCATATTTATTGTATATTTGCTAGATATTAACTACATGTTTATTACATATTCATTGTGCATTTGTTATGTATTTTCTGCATATTTACTACATATTTACTATATATTTACTGCATAATTATTATATATTTCTATGGAATTACTATGTATTTTCTAAGTATCAATTGCGTATCAATTTAAAATGTGCATTAAGAATTTAATATTTTAAAAAATGATTGTATTAAATGTGATTTATGATGAAGATGAAATAGGATGGAAATGTCCAATCAGTTTACTTCACTAATTATGGACTATTTATTATAAGAATATAGAATGGTAAGTCTGTAGTATTATATTATTGAATATTTCTTAATATAAGAATCAATATATGTCCAAAATTTACATTTATTTTGTAAATTTTTGAAAATATTGATCAAAGAATACATTGTAAGCTTTTTGTATGAATCAAAGTTAATACAAAGTGTACATAAAAAAGTTTATTTCATCATTGAACAAAGTAGGGCATAGGCAAATTTGGCCCTAAATTTTGGCATTTCTGCTTGTCAATCTATTTGATCTGCCTAGTCTACTTTCCTTTTACTAAGAATAATTTTTTTCATATATTTGGAGACAAATATTCTGCATTTAAAAATATTTGTCTTGGTTGGCAAACCATGAACAATTTGGAGATACCATTTTCTTACATCACTTTCAAAAGAATCCTTTGTATCCTCTTACAAGTTTTTTTTTTGAAAAATATAACGAATATGTTTTAGTTGAATGGACATACAAATGACTTTTCTAATTATATTGCTTGTATCCTTGCAAGAATTCAACATGGATATGATTAATGTATGAGCAAAGAATATTATATAGAAATTATTTATTATGTGAATACTAACCCAATGCATTGGTGAGACGTATATGTAGTGCTGGCACAAGCTAGGGAAAAGTTTATTCTTCTCAGACAAAATTTTAGCAAAGGCATCTATATGATTTTTATCTAAATATTTATTTGCTAAAAAGTCATCAAGATTAGCTCTACTTATTATTGTGTTCCTAGAAAAAGATATGAGGTCAATTCTAGAAACAAAGCCAAAATATAGTAAATATGCAGTCAAAATATAGTAATACACAATGAATACACAATAAATACATATTGGATATGTAGTAAATATGCAGTCAATATGCATTAAATATAAAGTTAATACATAAAAAAAATATAGTGAATACGCAATAAATACATAGTTAATATGAAGCAAATACATAGTAAATATGTAGTGCATTCGCAGTTAGTACGCAGTCAATACACATTTAAGTTATCTT